TATTTATTAATTTTTAAAAATATTTTTTCACAAATTTTTTATTTTTTAGACACATCTAAGTAAGGTGTATCTAAAAAAGTAAAAAAAAAATTAAAATTTTAAAAATATTCACTAAAAATAAAAAAACACAAAAATAAAAAAACTCAATTTTTAAAAAATTTAATTCAAAAAATTCAAACCAAACACACTGAATTGTTTCCTGTGATTTTGAAAATTACATTCTATCTCTTGAGATTTTTAATTTCATAACAACTCGCTCATTTTATTAATAAATCATCAAGTTAATTAACAATTTTTAATAATGTTAAAAATATGTTTTAATTAATAATTTAATTAATTTTATTATTATATAGGAGAATAATTATGAATTTTATTTTTTAATTAATTCTGTTAAATAAAACATTCCAATAAAGGAGTATTTGTAATTTTTTAAACCATAAAGAACAATTGATATTTTAAGCAAATCTCAAGAAATGTATTTATAATTTATCCTAAAATAATAAAAGTACAAATAATTTATACATTCAAATATATAAAGAAATCTTATACCTTCATCAGTTGTAAACAAAATTACACTTTTTCGTTGACATGCGATTTTCCCAATAATAAAAAGAAGGATAAATTACAAAGGGTATGGCTTATGTTCAGTCCAAGATCATATTGGATTGTGTTATTGGGCCTGTGGGGACCTATCACGGGTCCCTTTTTGATAATTTGAACCGTCAATATGTAGAAATCGTCGAGTACTATATACTTGTAAAAAATCACGTTGATCGGATATCGATAGCTATGTGATCATTTGTCTACAGTTAATTTGTTCACCGTCCAATTTTTTTAATACGAAACTGATTTTATCATATAGCTATCGATATCCGATCACCGTGATTTTTTACAGGCATATAGTACTCGACGAGTTCTACACATTGCACGGTTCAGATTATCAAAACGGGACCCGTGGTGGGCCCCCACGGGCCTAACAGCACGGTCCACTAGAAAGCCATACCCAATTACAAATATATCTCTGAAATTTGCTTAATGTAAAGATTGTCCTTTGTGGTTTAAAAAATTACAAATACTCATTTATTAGAATTTTTTATTTAACAAAATTAACTAAAAAAATGAAATTAATAATTGTTCTCCTATATAATAATAAAATTACATAAATTATTAATTAAAATATATTTATAATATTAGTAAAAATAGTTAATTGACTTGGTAATTTATTAATAAATGGACGATTTGTTATAAAATTAAAAACCTCAAATGATAGAATGTAATTTTCAAAATTACAGGGGCGATTCGTATTTTAATCAAATTTCAATGAATGTATTTGTAATTTAGATTGTAATTTTGTACAATTTTTTTATAGAGGGTAGTATAAATTAAACTCAACTATTTTGAAATTTAGAAAAAATATATTAAAAGACAAATTAACTAATTCGTTAGATTGTTGGGGTGTTTTGGAAAGTTGGTAAAAACCTAGCTTTTGGTTTTTTATCAAGCTTTTTAGCTTTTTAGAAAGTGATTTGGGAAGTTGGTAAAATGCTAACTTTTGACTTTTTGGTTTAATATTTGTTTATGGTATCAAATCAAATTAAAATGACCAAAATACCCGTACCCAATATTTATTTTTTACTTTTTTGTCATAGACTCCAATTTATAATTTCAACACTTACGTTTTTTGATTTCCCAAATGAATTTTGTGGCATTTTTGGCCGGAAGCTTTTTTTTCCTTTGGCTAAAAAACGTGGCTTTTACCAAACTTGCCAAAATGGCACTGTGTGAATTAAAATTTTAAGAAAATTTAATTTAATTATATTAAAATTATGAAATTAATTGTATTTCTTTTTTTAAATTCCAAAAGAAGTGAGTGTAATTTATTCCACAAAAATTGTGTTTGTCATATCTTGCTATGGAATGTATTAAATTATAAACTAAAAATTTAGCTAAAAGAAATTTTAATGCATCGGTTAATGTTTTTGTTAAATGTAAATTTTACATTAAATTTTAATAAAAATTTTATTTTTATTTTGTTTAATACTCCTAATTACTAATTACAATTTTTAAGTACTATTCACTCATTGTTTGATTTTATTTATTTAATTATCCAATAGATCCAACCACCATTTTTTTGTTCTTCATTCTTTCCCATTTTTATTTGAACTCTTTTTGTTCATCCTCATCACGGTTCAAAATTTACCTAAAAGGAATTTTAATGCATCGGTTAATGTTTTTGTCAAATGTAAATTCTACATTAAATTTTAATAAAAATTTTATTTTTATTTTGTTTAATAAAATAAATAAATAAATACTACTAATTGCTAATTACAATTTTTAAGTACTATTCACTCATTATTTGATTTTATTTATTTAATTATCTAATAGATCCAATCACCATTTTTTGGTTCTTCATCCTTTCCCATTTTTGTTTGAACTCTTTTTGTTCATCCTCATCACCGTCCAAAAAAGAAGGGATTAGCGGTAAATGGTGGTGGTGGTGTTGGTCGTCCATCACACTTTTTTTTTTCTTTTTAATGGACGGTGACGGTGATGGTGATGATCATGATCGTCCCCTCTCTATTTCTCTCTCTAGATGCCAAATATTAAATGAATTTGTCAAGGGTATGGTGATGTTGTGGTAGTGATATTAAGGGTCCGTTTGGCAAGGAAGGTTGGGGCTAAAATAGCCACAAAAGACAAAATAGGCTATTTTAGCCACAACAAATAAAACATCACATCCAACCCATAATCATTACACTCTTTTCTCACAAAAAAAAGTCAAAAAAGTCAAAAAGCTAAAAAACTTTTCCCAAACCAAGCTTTTTAGCCCAGGCTAAAATAGCCAAAAAAGTCAAAAAGCCAAAAAGTCAACCCACTTTCCAAACGGAGGCTAAATGAATTTGTCAAGGGTATGGTGATGTTGTGGTAGTGGATAAATTGGTGTGTAGTTGTGATTGTTAATTTCGAGATTGTTAGTGAGAGAATTAGTAAAAGTGTGTTTATTTTGATGATAGTAGGAGTGATGATTAGTGATGAAATTGTTAAATTATTTTTATATAAAATTAAAAAAAATTCTATATTTAAAAATATTCTAAAACAAATATAATTTATTTTTTTTTTACAAGTAACAGGTTGCACTTAGGTAAAAAAAATAAAATAGCACTTAATCCCCTCACTATTTTTTCAATCCCATACTTTCTCCAGCTTTGTTCATCTGGTTGTATAAGGGATTGTCAATCTAACTGGACTAATAATCCAGTCATAATTTTCCTCAACCACACATATTTTTTTAGGTCTAACCTTATTATTACTCCAATCCTACCACTCATGGGGGATAACAAACATAGCCTTAGTATTATCAATCGATAATTAACAGGAGAAAAGTGAAATTCAAAAGTGAACCTGAGAGAAAATTAGCGTCATCTTACAAATCTCAGAGAAAATTTATGTAATTATCATAATCCTAAGGCCCCGTTTGTTTTGGGTGAAAGAGAGGGTATTGGGATTACTAATACCAAGGTATTAGTAATAGTCTTGTTTGTTTTGGGAAAAGGCCTTGGGACTATTAGTCCCTTGGTATTACTAATACCCTGGAGAGGGGATTGGTAAGGAGGAGGTAGAGAAATATAGCATATTCAAACAAGATGAAGCACATTACAATTTCTCTGGAGAGAATGGAAATTTCTCTGGAGAGAATGGAAGGCCAGAGAAATTTACAGTGGGAATCTAGGGAATGTTAGAGAAATTGGAAAGTCCAGAGAAATTCTTCCCAGAATTTCTCTGGACTAATTTTCTCTTTGAAGTTGAATTTTCTCTGGAAGTCTAGGGAATGACTTCTTTTCTTTCTTGTCTATGCTAGGGTATTGCAAGATCTTACTGTCAACCACCTCATCTTGTTGGACTTGATCTACAAAGAGCACTAGGATTAGCAAACAGAATTTTGATAGCAACTCTTCATGAAAAGATATTTGTAAGAGAACATATAAAATGCATGATGATGCAGAGTTTCTTGGATTTTGTGAATTTTCTCTGAACTATCTGAATTTTCTCTGGATGTCTAAATTTTTTCTGGACTATCTGAATTTTCTCTGGATAAAGAGAATTTCTCTGGATGTCTGGAGAGAATTTCTCTGGATTTTTCAGAGAAATCCTCTGGACCGAATTTTCTCTGGATCGAATTTTCTCTGGATTGATGTTGAAGGACCTTAGACATTATGAAAATATTGAGTGTCCTTTATGCTATAAATTCTTAATATCAGGGACCTTAAAAAAAATCCCCCTTAATAATCCCCTCACTATTAATCCCCTCACTATCAATCCCCTCTATTCTATCTCCCAAAACAAACGGGGCCTAAGAGATTAGAGGCCTCCTTTGAGAACATCTCAAATAAATTGTTTATTAATTAATTTTTATCAAATTACCTTTCTAATTTTTTTTAATATGTCTTTTAGTAACATGAAGAAAAAAAATCAAAAAATAAACAATATCCAAAATAACTCTGTGTAACGTATCCAAAAAAACAATTTAAAATTGTTTAGGGTCGTTCTTGCAAAGTTGCAAGGCGAGTAGGGCGCTGTTGTGCACGCACGAGGGTTGTGGTGGAATTGGATCAAAAGAGAGAAATATCGGAAAATTGATTTCATTAGCGAGAGAGAGAGAGAGAGGGGGGATACCCTTTTTAACTCCTTCTGGCAGTGACAACTGGACCGTATCAATGACCAGCTGTAAGAGTCCACGTGGCTAAATTGCATTGGATGAGCTCTGTGCTCAGCCTTTTTTTCCAAACAGTGACAAGTCGTACGGATGCGTGCCTCCCTCATCGCCATCGCACAGGACCAGCCCTTGGCCAGCTAACCCCATGCCCGAGTGACAACGGCTATAAAATTTGATTTTTATTTCAATTTTCGAGGCCTCATATCCTACGTGGACCGTGACGTGCCATATGTCTCTTGTTTCGGAAGCCAACAAAGATTGGCTATAAAATGCCCGCATTGGCTTGCTTTGGTCTCCAAAGAACATTTCCAGTGTCGAAGCTTCACTGATCTACTCTCTCTCTCAGTTCTCTCTCAGTAATGGCTCGTTCTCTGTCGATGTCTATCGCGTGTGTGATGTTGGCTTTCTCTGTTGCAGTTGTAATGGTGGGTTTGGTTGAGTCATCAAGGTTTGATGAGTTGTTTCAGCCAAGATGGGCAATGGACCATTTCACCTATGAAGGAGAGCTTCTCAAGATGAAACTAGATAACTATTCTGGTAATTTATTTGTTATTTTCTTCATCAAACAGTGAATTTTTCTGTTATACTCTTGGGTTTCACTAGTTTTACACCGACCCTCTGTTCTCTTCATTCTATTGTTTTTGTTTATTGTTCAGTATTGTTATTCGAAGCTCATAAATTGATTTACTCTGACACATGCAATTTCAGGTGCTGGGTTTTCATCCAAAAGCAAGTATTTGTTTGGGAAAGTCAACATTCAGATCAAGCTCGTGGAGGGTGACTCTGCTGGAACTGTCACTGCTTTCTATGTAAGTTTATAGACTTGTTTTTTCACATCTTAAGTACCTCACACTATATTCACATTTCACACACATAAAAAAATGATATTACGAGTTTCAATCAATAATCTGTTTCTGGCACTGAGGACAGTCCATTGATTTGGCATTTATGTTCGCTTCCCACTTGCAGAAAACTTAAATTATGTTACATCATTTCGATTCATGAATGGGTAGTTAGTAGCTTTAGCTAGCCATTCCTTTCAGCCTCGTGACTGTGATTTACTTTCACATTTAAAAGCTCTCCAACCCACTATTTGGTCCATGAACCATTAATTTATTGTCATATTATCATATGTCAACGTTACTGTGAAATCAAAACCTTCCTCTATTTGATAATATTTTCTTTACTATTCAAAGCCACTGTTTTACTGACATTTTTGTACTGGGTTCAATTTTGTTTGTTGATGTGGGCACAGATGTCATCAGACGGTGCATATCACAACGAGTTCGATTTCGAGTTCCTGGGCAACACTACTGGTGAGCCATACCTGGTTCAGACCAACGTTTATGTCAACGGAGTCGGTAACAGAGAGCAAAGGCTGAACCTTTGGTTCGACCCCACCAAGGACTTCCACTCCTACTCCATTTTCTGGAACCAGCGCCAAGTTGTGTAAGCCTCTCTCTCTCTCTCTCTCATATGTCTGAAAAACACAAATGATGATTGTGTTTTTGTTTTCAGATTTTTGGTGGATGGGACACCGATTAGGGTACACTCGAACTTGGAACACAGAGGCATACCATTCCCGAAGGACCAAGCAATGGGAGTGTTCAGCTCGATTTGGAACGCAGACGATTGGGCAACGCAGGGAGGCCGAGTGAAGACAAACTGGACCAACGCACCATTCGTGGCCACGTACACGGGCTTTGAAATTGATGCGTGTGAGTGCCCTGTCACGGTGGCGGATGCAGACAATGCTCGGCGGTGCAGCAGCGGCGGACAGAAGAGGTATTGGTGGGACGAGCCAACAATGGCGGAGCTGAGTGTGCACCAGAGTCACCAGCTGAAGTGGGTGAGGGCCAAGCACTTGGTGTATGACTACTGCACTGACACTGCTAGGTTCCCAGTCATTCCGGTGGAGTGTGAGCACCATCGCCATTAGTCTCCTCTTGGGTTGCTTTGGGGGAATATGGATGGGGTTCAATTGGATCACACTGTAAAAACAAGCAAAAAGAATTAAAAAATCAAGGTCTTGGACATGAAGACATGAACTCCATGTTGTTTCATATTTTGGGTTTATTTATTCGTCTACTATGTAAGATATGAGATGTTTACATTAATATAAATTTTTAGATTTTCTTCCATATGAAGCAGGGTTTTATGGTTTGATCCAAATATTTAGTTTGAATAATTTGGTAAAAGCCTTTTTTGAGTTCTATTTTAAATTTTGTTAAACTTAACTATTAAAATTAATAATTTTGTTAAAATGAGGGTTCGTTTGGTTCGTATTTCTGAACCAAACAAATTTTTCCAAATTTTTTTTTTAAAACTTGCAAACCAAACAAATTTTTCAAACAAATATCTCTCTCACACATATCAAATCAATCACTTTTTTTAAAATTTTTTCTTAAAATAATTTTTCAAAACATCTTTTGAAAAAAATCAAACCAAACAATTTTTCGTACTTTTTATCTCTAAGACACATCTCTCAAACACAAATCAAACATACCCGAAGTTTTGCAATATCTCATTTGAAAAAAAAAATTATTAAAATTGATATGTAGATAAAATTATTTAACTTAGAATAATAAGAATTAATAGTAAAATTTAAATCAAAACCACGTGAGTAAAATGAATGTGAAATGTGTAATTTTGTGACATGGATAATTTTTTTAATTGTGGAACTGTTTGGTCATGGACAAACCTGTGGAAACTGTGCAAAGTTACTAATGTATGGGCAGTGGGTCCCAAAGTCCCATGAATATCTCACCGAATGTAATCATTCACGGGTTGCCTTGGGGGTCACGGGCGCCAGAGCAACGAAAAAAAATTCATGACAAAGTGGGGCCATGCTTGCGCAGATGTGGGACCCAAATAATTATAATGGAGAATGGGCCACGCATTCACAGCTCCTTTTTTTTTTGTTGTCTTGGGTGTTTTTTATATGGGGTCTCAGTCTGTGTATCGAAGTCGCTATTGGCTTGGAAAGGAGGATAAGTGAGTTCAAGCAAGTTTTGTTTAAATAAAGTATTAGAAGATGTCGATATACACATCATCAAATGAAAAATAATAAGGTCTGGTTTGAAAAGTTTAAAATAATTTATCTTTTTATTTTTTTTTTATTATATCATCTTTTTATTTTTTTATTATATATTTTTTAATAAAAAAATAATAAATATATGGTGCTTTATCTTTTTATATTTTTATATATTTTTAAATAAAAAAATAATAAATATATGCACTTGTACATGTCAATGGTGCTTTATTGTGGCGGGGCCCACCAAAACCAGAATTGGGTGCAATATTTGTTAGTAATATAGAGTTATTTTAATATTGATTAAAAGTGAATTTTTATTTTTTAAAAAAAATAAATATACAAAAAAAAAAAAGTAAGAAGGATGATGTGATTTAAAATATGTTAAAAATTGACTTTTGACTTTCTAGATTCTTCTCAAAAGAGGCCAAATATGGTGAAAATGTAAACTTTTAAATCCCTTAATATGATGTGAGAATTTGGGATATGATACGATAAGTTAATATGATTTAAATTGTATATAAAATTAGTAAGTTAAAATTGATTATTTTTTAATACGAATATGTATATAATATGACATGATAACACAAATATTAAACATGTCAAATTAGTGTAATACAAAATTAACATAGATAATTCATATAATAAAGAATTACTTACGTATTTAATATTATTTCCACTATAGTGTCATGGCATTTTTTAATTTCTTACGTAATTATATCTAATTTATTTTAAAATATATAAAATATAATTTTAAATTTAATATAGGTTTTGTTTTTGTTTTTAATTAAAATTAATATATTTTTTTGTCTATTATTTAAGTTAATTTAGTAAAAAATATAATAATAAAATATAATATTTATAAAGTACGAAAATAAAATTAAGTTAAAATCAAATATTTTTATGAATATTTTCATTTAATAGAGATTAGTTTCATTAAATTTAATTTATGAAGGAATTTTTTAATTTTTTTTCATATAGTTTATATTTTTAGTTACAATAATACTTGGTAACTCAAAATGACTTTGGCCCAAATGGCTCGACTGTCCAAAACGACGTGTTATTATTCTACCACTATAAATAGACTCCAAACACACTTTTCTCATTCACTTTTTTTTTCTCTCTCTCTCTTTTTCCTCTTATATCTCTGAAACAAAGAGAGAGAAATGGAGAGAAGAGAGAACAAGAGAAAGAAAACGAGAGAGGAAGAGAAGAAAGAAAAAAAGGGGAGGATTTACAGAGAGAGAGAGAGTGCTTGACCTATCACCGACGCTGCCATCACCGGTGAAGAAGTAAAAGAGATCTGTGTGTGTATAGGTGCCAAAACTATTTGTGGTGGTGATGATGATGATGTGTTATTGTTTGATGTTGATGATGATGATGATGTGTTGTTGTTGTTTGATGTTGATGCTCTCCCTCAGTTGATGATGATGATTTGAGTTGGTTGATGCTTTCTCTCTCATCTCTTCTTCTTTTTCTTCTTCTTCGTTTTCATCTTCATCTCTACTTTAGAGAGAAAAGAAGGGGAGGGGGGAAATCCAAAATGACGTCGTTTTGGAAATCAAGCTATTCGAGCCTCAGTATTTTCGAGCTACAAATCGGAACTATTTTAGTTAATAGTAAACTTTTTTGACATGGCACATTATCACAAAATAAAGTGGACATGGATCCAAAATAATACGACACAATAATATGAAATAATAAAAGAATTAGATTAGTATCGAGATAATTCTGACACGAACCCGAGATAACTTGACCTAACACAACATGCCGTCAACCCCTAAATACAAATAATTAATGGGAATTAAAAAAAAATCCAAAAACTTGGGTCTTGCACTGTCGGTTAAGAGAGTTATTCAGTGGTGGTCTCAGGAAGTGTTTGATAAAGTTAAAAACTGAAAATTGAAAATTAAAAATTAAGTATTGAAAATTAAATGTTAATTTTTTAAGTTAAATTTGATAAAAATTTAAGTGCCGCATTCAAAATAAGTTATTTGATGTATAAAATCAAATTTAAAATTTATTATTTAAAATTATATATTTTAATTTTAGTGGTGATTGTGATGATATGATGGTGATAGTGATAAGAACGGCGATGTTGGTGGTAAATGATGGTAGTGATAGTAGAATGATGATGGTTGTGACGATAATCAGCATTAACAAAACCAAAGTTGTACAGAATTGGTCATATGTGACCTCAAAAGATCAAAGGACAAGTAAAACAAAGATAAGGCCTCTTGCATGAGGCGACCTTGGTTGACCTCTCAAAACTTGGTTTCTCATTACTCATTGGGGTTGAGGCTGGACATCCCGCTGTTCACCTACATACATATAAATAAGGGGTGAGTTAACGCCCAGTAAATAATACCAAAGTAAAGGAGTTCATGAACAAAATTCTTATAATCATAATTCACTATTACGTTTGAAAATCAATAATAAAATAAAACGACCTCAAGTCTTTTATATCATTTCTCAAACACAAAACGACCTCGGGTCCATGTACCATACAAAATGATCTTAGGTCCATCAAGGGCAAAACGACCTTAGGTCAAACTTACATACAAAATGACCTTGGGTCCATTACACACGGAACGACCTTAGGTCCAATACTCACAGAACGACCTTAGGTCCAATACTTACAGAATGACCTTAGGTCCAATTCATATATACATTTACTGTGTGCACACATTTGAATCTGTGATCATATCCATTCTTGTATCCAAAACGACCTTAGGCCCATTTCATACTCATACATTGATCGCTTCGTATATTTCATTCCGAAAATACTCATCATAATATCGCTTCAAAGGTTTAGAACATTATCACATAGGCATCGTTTAGAAAATAATGCGTATACGAAAAATATCTTTGCTAAGATATTACTCGCCGTATTCCAGTGCTTGATTCGTCCTTGCACTTGACCTTAAAGGCTCCAATTCTTCCAAATATAGTTAAGCCTTGAGTTAATTCTTCTCAATTTTCCAAGCTTGTGCTAAATCTTTCAAATTGTGTTCTCTCTCTCTCTACAATCAGTTCACTCTCTCTCTCTAGAGTGTAATCTCAGCCAAGTTGAAAGAAAATGAGCTCAAAAGAATAAACTTAAGTGTATATAGGCTTGCCTAATCAAATTGATTAAGGCTAAGTGATTGTGCTTTAATTCAATCATATTGAATTTAATTATTTTGACCCTAATCAATTTTTAATTAAATCTCACTGTAGGCTCTAAAAATCATGCTAATCGTAAAAATACAGTCAATTTTAGTTTCTTTCGCCTCTACAGCCTTAAATTGAATTTTATAACAGAAAATCAAACAGATTTTCCTATGGTGAACAGATGCAAATTGAGAAACATATATAATCATATAATTAGCATTCAAAATCATATCAAGCTCATAATTATAAGCATAATTAAGATCAATTAACATAACATAGAGCAGGGTTATCACAGATTTACTCGTAATGAGTTAAAAATTAAGGAGATTAAATTAGGGTTTGGCTTCTCTCCAGTCTGTAATCGGACTAAAGGGTGTTGTTTGGCCCGCGGGGACCTGCGACAGGTCCCGTTTTGATAATTTGAACTGTTCAATGTGTACAACTTGTCGAGTGCTATATGTTTGTAAAAAATCATGCTAATCAAATATCGATGGCTACATGATCAAATCAGTTTTGTATTAAAAAGAATAGACAGTTGACAAAAATTTGATCCGATAAAATAACTATCGATGTCCGATCAACATGATTTTTTTATAAGCACATAGTACTCAATGAGTTCTACACATTGAACAATTTGAATTATCAAAATGGGAACCGTGATAGGCCCTCACGGTCCAATAACACCCTATAGTTCAATCACAAACTAGAGGAAAGCCAATCCCTTAAATTATCATGTAGTCGTTTGGAAAGTTGGGTTAGAGTGGATTGAGGCTAAAATAGTCACAAAAAGATAAAATAGGCTTTTTAGCTCCAAACTAAAAGTTGTCGCATCTAAACCATAATCATTTTATTTTTTTTCTCACAAAAGTTAAAAAATTAAAAAGCCTATTTCAAACGAGATTTTTTAGTCCCAAGTTAAAAAAATCATAAAGCTAAAAAACTAACCCATATCCCAAACG